TTGTAAAAATCTGAACTGTGGTATCTGTGGTATGTTAAACTCAGAGTTGTTGCAGTTAACCCTTCAGTACATAAACATTGCTGTAATACCTGTCAGGTGTTGCATTTTCCTGGCCACGCTGAAATGAGTGTGTGTTGTGCTGTAGCTGAGGCAAAATGGGCTGTTGATGGCTTAGTAGGTGCAAATAGAGAATTTGCAATAGAATATTTAATATGGGGAGATTCACAGGATCCCTATGGCACAAAAGAAGTTATATCTTGTGCAGATGTGACAGACTTGTTTTCTACTGCTTTGCAGGTTTAGTTTTCGGCAGGCCCTAACTGCTGCAGTTGTACTGTGTTGATTGAAGGATACTCTTCCTTGAGATAGGTTTTTGAAGTCTTTGGGCAATGATGAGGAAAAGGTGATAACTGATTTAAAATTATAGGTGGTGGTGCCAAATTCAACTAAATGTTTCTTAGCACAACTCACTAGGAGGCTTTATTTGCTGTGGCTTATAACATTGCTTATAACTTTTCTGTTAGGAATTTTCCATGAGGAGTGTTTGCCTCAAACTACTTTATTTTGACTGAAACTAATCAAACAGCTCTGTCTGTGAATATAGCTAGCAAATACATAATTTGCCTAAGCTAGATATGCAGACTTTAAACAGCAGCATTGTCATGTGTGTTGCAACATATCCATCTCTCCGATTTTTAAATCTCTAAACACTGAAGTTGTAAGTTATAGTTACAAGTTATGTCATGTCTGGGGAAAAGTCAACTGCTACTCTGCCAAACTATAAGTTTATGAGTTTATAAGCTTTGTGTATGCTAAACATGTGGGGGTGTCCTAGTAGTTTAAATCTGTAGGGAGTGTTCCATCACCATATATTTCTTCACTTCTCTGAGCTCCCAATGTTGACCAAATTCTGCGTGCAGATCCCAGTAAAGTAGCTGAACATATTCTGTTCCCATTTGTTCTCACCTGTCGGTAAAGTAAATCTGGCCGAAGGCACTTTGAGAAGTGGGATTTCTCACAGCTGACTGGGGAAATAATTAAGTGTGCTCATATCTTTGATTTTTTTTTTTTTTTTTTTTTTTTTGCACAGCATAGGTTGAAGTTAGCATTATATAGTTGAAGTGGTGAAGCACTCTAACAATAAATACAATGGAATTAATCAGTCCCTCAGACTTTTCTATTTTCAGGGCACAGTTGGTGTTGTATTTATTAAAGGAGGTATATAGCTAAACCTTGAACAATGAGGAAAAACTAGATATCAAGTGGTTGCTCATTAACAGTGTATTATCCATTGTCTGTCTTGAATGGGAAGTGTCTTAGAAAAGAAGTGTGCTCTTGTGTAATAAAGAGGTCTGCAACAAAGCCTAGGTGCAATGAGAAGATCTCGGGCTGAACAGACTTTCATTTCATCAGCTTTTTTCTTAACTGAGTTCTTCACTTAATTAGTCTACAATTCTCTGCAAGACCACAAAGAAAGGAGAGTTACCAATTTAAGATCCAAAGGGACCTCTGGAGGTAAACTAGTCCAGCCTGCTCACACCCACCAGCTTACAGCAAGGCCAACCAGATAGAGTTGTTCAGGCCTTGTCAAGTTCTGGTGAAGCTGAAATCTCCTTTCCTAAGGTCCAGGGTTGTAATTTTACTGTTTGTCTTGTTCAATTCTCTTGGAGTTTTAAGCTCCATAAACTTAGGGAGTCAAATAGAAGCATTTAAATCAAGTATGTTTGTTATGTTTTTGGTTTGGGGGACTTTGGTGTTTTCTGGTTGTGTGTGGGTTTGTTGGGGGTTTTTTTTGTTTTCTTTTTTGTGTTTTTTTTTTTTTTTTTTTTTAATGTGGTTGCAGTGTGGTAGTAACTCTTGTTAACCTTCCTCTTCCACTTTTACTTGACGTTTGCACCTTGTGGTTTCAGGCTGATGTGACTTCTGTTCATATTTTGGGGAAAAAAGTGGTACTGGTGCAGTGTTAATATGCCATCTTTTTCCAAACAAGGCAATGGGTATCCTGTATGCCCTCAAAAAGTTGGGTAAGGGAAGGGACATTGATGTATCCAACAAACAAGCGGCCCATCTGTCATTACGCAGATTATTCTGACCCGGACAATAAGGAAAACAGCTGGCCACCAGGCTTTAGTTAACAGGTTAGTTTGGGCAGTGCTGGTCTGGTTGTTGCATCTGAATGATCTTAGTGCACAAAGTCAAAGTACTGAATATCTTTAAGGTAGGCCTAGAAGCAAAAATCTGTGGTCTGTGAGGAGAAAATTAGCTCCATTAAGCAGTTAAGTCCCATGACAGGCCTAAGAAGACATAATTGGTTCTAACTGGCACTCATAGGAGCACTGACATGCTCTATCTGCAGCCAAATAGTTCTTAGAGAGGCAAAGAAATCATCTGTCTTCATAAATAGCAAAGAACTCTCTTCCAAGCTTGTCTTTGCTGCTGAAGGGCCTGATAACCAGTACAAAGAAAAGGAGGACAACTTGCAATTCAAGTGAGAATCATTTTGGAAAGCAGAGGTTCATCTATGAAGCCATCAACAATGAGTTAACTCATCTTATTTTACATAACACATTGCTATGCCTTGGTTTTAGTCGGTAATGGAATACACAACTTTCAGAACAAACTGATAAACTGAGGGTGGATATTTGTAATGTAGTTTACAGTGGGCTGTTGATAGACCTGTGCATGGGGGAAAGCCATAGATAGTACACTACCCGGTCATCTCCAACTAGCTCTCCTAACCAAGATATTACAGATACAGTTGGGGTTACATTTAAACAAACAGACAAACAAAACCCCTTTCTACATATTTTTCAGTAAGTGTGCACCCTCCATCTTGAGCTCAAAGCTGAATGAGGAGATAGAGTTCAGTCTGCAAAATTAATCTTTCTGGAACTGAAATGATAACAGGCATACAGTTCCAGTATGCCAATGTGCTCTTTTGTCAATTCAGAATTATGAGTGGCGTTTCCTACCTAACCCTGGTTTCAGACGCATTTGTTTGAATTTACTGGGCATGTTCTGGTGGGTATGCACAGACCTGGAAGGAAGGAAACGTGGATTTATTTCTACTCTGTCGTTGAGTTAGCTGTTCAGAAATCAGTTCCCTTCTGTGTGCCTGAGTTTTTGATGTCTGTTTTGGTAATGTGTGATGAGATGTGTAGAGGAAGCCTCTTCAGTGAGGGTAAAGTGTATCAACTATTTCTACCAATATGTGGTATTTATTTGGAATTCAGGTCGTAAAGAGCTTTAGTGAAGCTGCAGCTTTGTAGGCGAGTGTAAAAGTTACCCCATATATGATCCCACCTGTTTCTGTATCTAATTACATTTACTGTGTTTGGGGTTGCTTGATACATGTTGCTGATTGGTATATGGTGGGGGGAAAAAAAAATATAAAATCATCAATTGTAATTTCACTCAAACTGGAAAAATGTACCCAGTACATTGCCTGTACTTTGGACAGATATTTCATCCCTGATGCAGTAATGGGAGCTGGTTATTTTTGCTTATGATTCTGTAGCTTGTGACCCATTGTAATAGTGCTCAGAAAATGAGATGCAGTAAATGGCTGAACCATTGAGAAGCTTTGTTCCTGTCCTGCCTGTAGATTTGGGTCTAGGACAGCAATTTTAGCCGTATTTTCCAAGAAGCTCAGGGGCTGATTTTGTAACTGCTGAGTTATAAAATCCTGCTCCTTACTCAGTGTTGAGTACAAGTGAGAATGTGAACTCCAAACACTTTTGCTTCTCAGCTTCTTCATCTGCAACAATAATGCCTCACTTGTGTGTCTGTCCTGCTCAGCTCAGATGGGCCTCATGAATGTGGGAGGACAGCTTTGGAGAAGTTTGGTGGTGTCCTTAAAAATCAGGTCAAGGAACAAATTCCCAGGCTCACTGTAAAGATGAACAATGCTGGAAATATGTGGACTGGATATCCAAAATTCTTAGGAATCATTGAGAAAAGGATAGTCTCCCACTGTGTGCGAGTGGTCTTCAGCTGAAGACAAGCGCAGCCTCAAGGAGAGCTGCTAAATATTCCCTTTGAATGCCCTTATAAGATTGAATCCCATGCTTCTGAAGCAGATGTGGCTTCCCCCCCCTCACCCCCTTCCCCAACAGCAGTGTTCTATCTGGCATTGTCTGGGATATTAGCACTAATGAAATCATTCATTCCTGATAAGCTCTTCACTTACCTTTATCTTAAATGCTGCTTGTCTTTTATTTAGGAACTAATCAAATGTGCTTCATCAGGTTGTATACAGAAGAAATTTATCGAGTGATTTCTACCTTAAGAGGAAACCCGCTTGTTTGTTTGTAGCTTCCCTCCTGTGATGTGTGTAGGAAGATGAGGATGTTCTGAATAACATACATGCACATTGAGCCTACTCTCTGGAAGTTGTTCGTGAGGCTTGAGTCCATGCTCATCTGAATGATGAATTTTCCATAAGGAGGGAATTACGTTCTTTGTTATCAAGTCTAATGGTGCAAGGCTAATGGTGAAGGAACAGATATGTGTTTTCTGATAAAAAGCTATTTCACCTTCATATCTCCTTCCCTCAGAAAAGGTATCTAGCATTCCAGAGCCATTGCTCTACAAAGGAAAGCTTATAATTTTACAGAAGGAAGAATACACAGAAGTTGGAGAGGGCAGTCTAAAGCACCATTTTGTGTATGTCTTATAACACATATGGAATCAAATACAATATTAAAGAGAGTTCACGATGTCATTTGTCATGAAGTAGAAGGATTTTAGTACATGTTGTCATCTTCTGTTATCTGGTTGAATCTGGAAATACCTATTTCCATCATCTACTCAATTTTTCTGGAGTCATCTTGTGCTATCAGTAGCCTGGCGAGCAGGAGGCATTCATTTCACCCCTTTAATTAATGAAAGCATATTGCTTCTATTCCTCTCAGAAGTCATAGCATTGTTACCAGATTTGGCAAATAGATAAATGAAATGGTTAACTAACACTTTTTTTTCTTTGGTTTTGTGTTTTGTAGCTGGTGCCACGTACATATTTGGGAAGAGTGGAGGTCTCATCCTGTACACCTGGCCAGCTAATGACAGACCAAGCACAAGGACAGACCGTCTTGCTGTGGGCTTCAGCACAACAGTGAAGGACGGCATTCTTGTTCGGATTGACAGTGCCCCTGGGCTTGGTGATTTTCTGCAGCTGCATATAGTGAGTATGGACAGGCGCATGTCTATGCCAGACCTGGGGTTGTGTTCACTGAATATGCATTTGAAGAAAACTTTTACTATAAAATAGTATGTGTCGTACTCTGCACTTTCTATGTCTTAAGTACTCATCAGATTAACCTGTTTTAGGTAGTTCTTTAGGGTTCTGTAAAATTAGTGAATGGGATGCACAGGGAACCAAGCCTTGGTTGAAAGTGGGAGGAGGGACAACAAACCAAGCCGGGGGGCAGGGGGAGGGATGCCTTATGAGATTCAATAGTAGTAGGGTTTATTAAAAATTTGTAGAAATATTTTTGCGGCAGTGCTACTCTACTGTGTCATATGCATAGTCTTGAATACAGCTGAATTAATGGTGGAGAGCATTACTATTCTCAGAAGGCAAAGAATGAAATGGAGTGATAGGGTTGGGGTTTTGTTTTGGGTTTGAGGTTTGTTGTTTGGGTTTTTTTTCTCCCCCCTCACTGGGAAAGTTAAGTGAGAACTGAACAGATCCTCAAACAGATATAACTGATGTTTGCTTTAGCAAGATAGTTCAAAAGAATAAGAATTTAATGTTGTTAGCATGACATGGCTTTGCAAGAAGAAAATAGACTTTTTTGTGAGAGCAGATACTAAAGTAGGGAAACTTGAATGAAGGTGGCTTTAGGGAGAATTGAATTGTTTGAGAAAATGAGAACACTAGGACTGCAAACTTTTGGAGTTTGTTATTTTATGTGATGCTTTGGGGGGGAGGGGGGTGTAGTTTGCTTTGTTTTGCTTTGTAAACAAAGGAGCCAAGAAGTTTACTAGAGGTAGAAGCTCGTCATGTTACTTGATACTCAGATTATTTCCAATGTTTTATGTATTAATTCACAGTGGAAGGGAAACAGACCATTTAGAGGTTTTGAATGAGCTGGTGAGTTGTCGACATTTCACTGGAACTTGAAGATATAAGTAAACAGGAGAAATGCCAGGGGCCAAAACACGGACCTAACGTGAATCACCAAGGGTCTTAATCTGCTGCTGGAATTCGCTATGGTCAGAATCATGCTGATGCATTGTTTATATTGCAGCATGGTTCTGAAACAAGGGTCAGGGCTAGTACACGTTGCCAGCATTTGAAATGGGTTTGTTTTGAATTTTTTGTAAAATTCAGGTTCATTTGAATGGACTAGAATATGGCCTTGAGCCCTTAGACTGTCACCAATTCTGGTTTCGCTCTCTTTTGATATATCCAAATATTTAGTTTGTGGTTTTTGCTGGAATGAAAGTGAGCTCAAATCTTGGAATTTTTTTAAAGAAAAAAACCTTCTTCTTGCTTTCTTAAAAACAAAACAAAAAATGACAGGAGACTCTGTAAAAGTGAACAATGTTAAGCCTAATGGAATTCCGTAACTCACATTAAGCAAAAGTGGTTGGATATGACTGAGCAAGAGAATGCCTATTCTTCAGACATCACAATACAACATGTGTAAAATGCTATCGATTAACTGGAGAACAGCGTATCTAGCATGTGAGGAGAGGTGCAGAGATATGAATCTGTTCAGTCTTAGAAAAAGAATTCTAAGACGGAATCTTGTCACTCTTGGCAGCCTAATGGGATGTTACAGAGAAAATGGAAGTGGAAGGAAGAGGGGAAATGGACACAAGTAGTGAAAAGGAAATTTTAATCCTGCATTAAGATAAGAACTTGCACAATGACCCTTTTCAGCATTAATGATGAAGGCACATATTTTTTCTCTGTACCTTGGTCTCGATTATCAACTCTACCCTTAAAAATGAGCCCAAATGAACTTTTTAATGAGTGATCTTTTTTAACATTATAACCAATTTTCCTGTATAGATTGAAATACATTGAATCTGAGGTGTAAGTGTTCATTAAAATAAATAAATAAATATCCTGACTTTCTCTTTCCAGTCAGTTTTGGAAAGGAAAGGAATGAAAGTGTTTCTGCTTCATCCCAATATAGTTTGTTCAAACTACTCCAAATAATATGATGCTAGTTTCAGATTATTTCAGATATCTAAATCAAAGCTATTAATTGTGGCCAATATTAATGCTAAAAGTTCTGTTGAACACTTCCTCTGTAGTTTGGCCAATTTTATCCCTGATGATGTTCACTAATAGCAAATATAGAACTCGTTCAGCTTTAATTTCTCTAGTTCTTTTGTGGTCAGGATGGATTAGGAGGATTTGTGAGTCATTCATAAGGAGCAAAGGCGTGCTGCTGTGCTCTTCTGGTTATGGTGTTACCGTTCATCATATATATCACTGTTCAAATAAAGAATGTAGTCAGTTTCATGCTGTTACACGCAATAGAAAAGTTGAAGAGGAACTTTTTAAAGTGTTATTGGCTTCTTGGATGTCTGTAGACTTTGTTACCTTTGGTTTATGGTTCAAAGTCGCTTTTTGGATAAAGTCAAAATCTAAAATGAAAGGTGCATCTTGAAGTGACATTTAAAATGCAAGACCATGTAAGACCTGTTACTTAGCAAAATGCATGCAAGCTTTCCATGAGACTGAGATCTTTCGTAACTGACTGAAAACTACCACATGCTTTGTGCTGTCATGTTCAAAGACACTATCCCTCTTCCGTTCTTCAAAACCTTGTCCTTCCATTAGGCCATTTCCAAGTGTCAAGAGAAACAAGGCACTGTGGATCAAATGATAATTGAAATTTGGGAAAACCAAATTTGTAGATCAGAGCTATAAAAACAGATTAAACTGATGATAATATAAAGGTTTAAAAATGCAAATACTTAAACCATAAAGCAAATTATAGGAGAAAGATAAAATAGGTATTAAAAAAGGGAAGACCAATGTTTATGTAATTCATTTTATGTATGTTTAGCAACTTGACTTTTTCAGGAGCAATTATATTTAATAATAATAAAACTGGCAGGGATTTTCCTGGATAAATATTGGGGAGACCTCTTTCTCTGAGGCCTGTCTGGATATTCCAGTCACAGACTTTATTTTGGATGCTATTTACTGGATTCAGACCTCCTCACACTTCCCTTGGTGTTCTGTTGGTGATAACAGGTGACAAAAGCCACCTGGTGATCTTCTTTTTTTTTTTTTTTTCTAATGGGTATCACTAAGCTAAAATTTAATCCAAAATTCATAGTATAGGCTGTGGTTTATCAAGATCTGATGCTATTTGGAAGATCATAAAAGTGGCTCGTACTCTGATAAGGAGACTTTTTAATAGTGTGCCTGCTTTTTGAATATCATTTATGTTCTGGAGTTTTCTTTGTAATCTCTAGTTGTAAAATTCAAAGTCAAAAAAAGATACCTTATTAACAAGTTAGATATTTTCTTGTTTAATTTATGGTCGTTCTGTTTGGATTCATTTTTTTAATTATGAGTCTTTCAGACATTGTGGAAATTTATTGACTGAGGCTTCTGGTTTATATGACAAAAAATTACAGCCTCTGAAACTATTTTCTCTTCTGATTTACAATGAATTATAAGCTGGCAGCCCTGCAGAAATGGATAGCATACCATCCAGATCAATGTTGTATATGAAACATGAGGTGTTTGTGTGAACAGACTGTAGCACGTGGAAAGACAATATTGTTATAGCACCAAATCCCTCCTTATGAGATTTTTTTTTTTCCCCCCTCTAACAATTTATTCAAAGCACCAAGTCCTAGCCTGTACCAGAAAATTGCCTTCCACAACGGATGCTTAAAAGGCTGCATGTAGGAGTTGTGGTTGAATGTTTCTATATGTTCATTCGTGTTTCACTACCACACCTTTTTCGTAATTTACAACATGCAAAAATCTTCATAGAGATCAAATGGGGAGAGGAAGACAGCTGCAAGTGATGATGGATATAATTCTTGTGATGGCTATGGAGAGAGAAATCACCCTCCATGTGCACTGCTGGCTTATTCTGCAGTCTTTCATTTTGATGTGCATGGTAAACTGTCATCTCATCTCTGGCTATTCAGAATAGTCTTGTGAGACTGGTCCAGTTTCTGAATTGCTTGTAAAAAGTAAACTCTAGGCTACGGCAAAAATGCTAGTGATTTTGAGAGGAGTTTTGCTTAAGTAGTCCCAAGCGAATGGGGATCCATCACAGCACCAGACTGCAACTGAAGGCCACAGAATTTTGTGTAGAACATTCTGATTCAGAAGCAATAAGTATAAGAAAGTCTTCTGAGTTGGAGATGGCATTACTAAATAAGAATGAGTATAAATGGAAGAAAATGTCAAATTTGTTTGGTTATACTATGATTGCCCGAAGTCTGTGTTTGGGTTTTGTAGTTGTAGAGACAATTCTGGCTCCTCTGTACAAGCAGTCTCCTGGAGATGCCCTCCAAAACTGTAGTGCCATGCCATCTGAGCAAAGAGAGAAGTAGAACAACTGGAATCAGGAGAAGGATAACCACAGAGGGTGTATGATGAACTGAATATCTTAAGGCTTAGACTGAGATAATAAATGAAGTTTTGTGTTTTTCCTGTCTATAACCAAAATCACCTTGATGCAAAATATTTCAGCCTTTCTTAGGCCAAATTTGGAGTGGGCATTAAAAGGGTTACATTTTATACGTAAGAAAGTAGAAATAAGAGGGTTTCCTTAAGACTAGCCTGTTTTATTTTGCAGGTGGTATATCTAAAGTGGCTATGAACCATGGAAAATGGGCTATCTGCTTCGATCTCCGATCTTGTGGGGTTTTTTTAGCTTCCTTTACTGTCTTTATAGTTAGTTTTCTCTTAAAATGTGTGTTTTACCATGTTAGACCTCCTTTTTATTCTTACATAAAAATCTTAGTTTGCTCAAGTTTCATTTTTGTGACTACAAATAATATTACTCCACCAAATCTTGATCTTGTTTGCATTGATGTACATTCGGAATAGTGCTATTAATCTTGCCTTTCTAGGCTTTTAACTGGTCTAAAGTAAGTCTTTAAGTCTGATACAGTTCTTGGAGTATACCAGAAGTGGTTGAGCATCAGTATCCCATAAACAATTATCAGTTCCGAAGTGTTTAATGC